CTCGTGGCTGGTCACCACCGCGGGGGGCGCGGCTGTGAAAGCGTGTGCACGTATGCGTGTGTGTATTGCGTTTCGGGAGGGGAAAAAGACGTGCCCGGGGGATGAGGGTTGGGGTATTAGAGTTGGTAGCCACCCAAACAGAAAATGGCTCTCGACAGGTTTCCATTCCCTCTTGCCGCAACCTTCATAAGGCCCCTCCCGCCCCGATACCCCCCCCGCAGCTGCGACATCCAACTCCGGGTCCCCGGCTACATACCCATACAACCACCCCCACACACACTCATTTTCAAATACACACACGCACACACGAGCCCCTGCACCCTATAGACCCACAAAACCCATCCCATCCTTTATTCCATCCTTTATCCCCCCCGTCACACACACCCGTACATGTACCTATATTACACCGCACCCATACACCCCCCCACACACCCCCATCCTACCCGCCGCGGAGCCCTTCACCTCCCCCTCCTGGTCCTCATTAGCCGCATCCGCCGCGTCCTCCGCGTTGTCGTTTCCCTTCCACGACGGTACGGGGGGCGTGGGGGAGAGCTTGGGCTGCCTGGGGAAAAGACGTGTGTGTATGCGTGTAAAATGTGTGCGTTTAAAATATAACCTGAGCCGCGAGATGGTTGAGAAAGGTTGAAGAAGTCCCATGCGGGGCCTTTTCGCATCGCAACTTAAGATTAAGGGCTCCTAAAACACGCAGGCAGGGCGCCCGCTACATGTGTGTGTGTGTTGGGTTTGGAGTGTGTGTGTGTGTGTTGGGTTTGGAGTGTGTGTGTGTATGTGTATGTATGTGTGTGTGAGTTGCGGGGCCTGCGCGAGGGGGGGAATAAGACGAACCACGTGAACGAGTGAAGGTGCTGCCATGGAAAGAGTGTACAAGAAGCAGAACTGACCCCAGTAGGCTTGCTGCCTAGGGGGCCTGTGTGTGGGGGGGGGAAGGGGGAGGGGGGGGGGGGAAGACGAACCACACACGATTGAAGCTGCTGCTGCCAGGGCAAGAGAGTATGTAAGGGGGGGGGAAATGGCATATGTCTTTCCCGCAATGCCGCAATGGCTGTGTCGTGGTGAGCCTGAGCCCCTAAGAGTCTTTTGTAAAACACATAAAAGATCAGCGGGGGGGGGAGCTTTGGTCGTGCCGCCGTACATCTTTTCAGAGCTTACAAATACACAGACAGACAGACAGACAGAAGTAATGCATACCGTTCTTCGTGGTAGTATGTGAAGAGGTCGTTGAGGTAGCCGTCCTTGTAGATGCCCGGGGGCCGGGACTGCGCGAACCTGATCACCGCCCGCTTAACGGTCAAGTACCGCAACCGCATCAAAGCAGCGACCACGACATAGCCTGTGTGTTGTGGTAGAGTAGCAGGGCCTCGTGAGTATGTAAGTATGTATGTATGTATGTGCCTGTCTGTTTTGCTGATCCGAGCTGCATATATATATGTGTGCATATGCTTGTGCGTACGTGTGTGTATGTATGTATGTATGTGCGTTAAGATTGGGAGAGCGACGGGAGGAGGTCCAGGGCGAGCGACGGAGTACGGCACTGCACGAAACTGCTGAAAAGCTTGAGCCCGTGTAAGGGAATACAGACGACAACACGGTACGACCACTCCACAATACTCCTCTCTCCATACACACATCTCTCCCTTCCTCGTCTTTCCTTGGCATCAGCTTCACTCGCTCGTGGTTCGTCTTTCCCCCTCCCCTTTCCCATTACCACCCCTCCCTCCCTCCATACACACACATATCCCTCCCTCCCTCCCCCCAGCCACATACACACACACCCGGTACCCACCCGTGCGGTTGAATCCGTGAGTGCAATGCAGCAAGATGTACTTGTCCCTCGTGTTCATGTGGTGAGAGAAGATGTGCCACACAGCTTCATTGACCTCCGACGGCAGGGGCGACTGACCGCGCCCGCGGCAGGCGATCTGCGGAAGCGGGAGAAGGCGGAAAAAAGGGGGGGAAAGACGAACCACAAACGAGTGAAGCTGCTGCCAGGGCAAGAGGGGGGGGGTGAGGAAGTAGTATATGCAAGTAAGTCAAGATACGGGGAGGTGCTCAGTACTGAGAGGGGGCCCCCGAAGAGGCCGCGGAAGAAGGGGAGGACATTTTTAATATTGGCGCCTTTTTTCCCAAAAACGAATTTGTTTCATCAGGTTGAAAAATCAGCACCACCCTAGAAGATCCAAATCACCACCATAAAAACCGCGGCAATCATAGACCAAGTATGATTAGGCATGTGTGGTTGGTTTTCGATCGAGCCAGCCAAGACCTGAACCACCTCCTCCCCAACACTTCCCCCCTCCCCCCTCCCCCCTCCCCCCCCACACACACACGCACAGGCAACCACCTTGACGTAGTGGATATCGGGGTTATCCAGCTCCTCCATTTCCCGATTGATGTCGTAGTAGTTGCGGCTCTTGGTCAGGTCGATGATGGTGGCCACCTAGGGGATGAAGAGAAAAGAGGGGATGAAAAAAAGCTAAGGGAAAAGAGGGGATGAAAAAAAGCTAAGGGAAAAGAGGGGATGAAGAAAAGCTACGGAAAAGAGGGGATGAAAAAAAGCCTCTGTTGTTCAAACCACAATTAGCTCGTAACGTAGTTAATGTTGCGCCTCATCCAGCCTACGGCGCGCTTTCCGTGTACCAAATCATCCCCTTTGGAAGCTTTTTAGTTCTTCATCCCCTAAAGAGGAAATAAAGGGGAATGAAAACGGAATGAAAACGTGCTGTGAGAGCCGCTCCCCGCCGCGCCCTCAGCGCGCCCGCCAGCCCCCTCGCCGCCCGCGAAAAAAACAAAACGAAAAGCAAAAAGGCTTAAGTCCCGTGCGCTAGCAGCAAGGCGGATGTGGCGGCTGCAGCAGCAGCGAACCAGAGCCGGCAAGCTGCAACCTTTTTCCCTCCTTTCTTCCCCCCCCAATTTTCGATTTCCTACTTTCACCCCCCTCTTGGCATACAATCCACCACCCCTGCCCGGCCACATTTCTTTTCCACTCATCCGGCCTGAACGCCAACTCTGCAATCAGCTTGAGACAGTCCAACCTTTCACTCTATACCTACGTTCCTGCTGAGGGCGTCAATTCAACCACAGCCTGCCGGTCACCTGGGCACCCCTCTTAGCCAAACTTACATCCATGCCATAGCTGCGGAACTGCCGGATGGCATCGACCAGCGTCCATCGCCCCGATGGCCCGACTAGGTTGTTGAATTTTGTACTAAGAGGTACCTGCAGGTTTAAGCATGGAAAGAATGTATGCGTCCCGAAGGTCCAGCCTACTTGTTGAATGGTCACGTTACGGCGACGCACCTTGCAGGGAATTATGTTAAGTCCATCGAAAAAGCGTGGGTCGCCAAATTTGGGGCATTTGACCCATCCTTCTGGTAGCTGAGGAATGTAACCCCCAAAAGGCTGCAGTATGGCACAAAAGCAAACCATTACCAAAGTCGCTCAACGTCCCACGTCGCGATGTTCCTTACCCCCGGCGCCGTCGTCATCCTTGCGCGAACTTTTGCTCCTCGAATACATCAGGGCAGGCAAAGCGCCTCCCCTGACTAAAGTTACTGGACAGTGCAGCTCCTGCACAAGTAAATCACTGTGAAAGCCATGTCGGCTTTTACTAATTAAATATTAGTAGACCTCCCCTTTCGTTGCTCACAGCATATTCACAACGCGCACTGTGCGGGCCTGCGGAGACTTGAGGAATGAATTTATACAAGCGCGAAGCGTGCGCCTTTGTGCCTTTCGTAAAAGTTTCTTATTTCTATAAGGGTTGCACTAGCTGCTTACTTCATCTCCCTGTAGAGTCTCGACAGAGTAGTCCTACATAACTGATATCTAACCGAATTCCGAAGGAGCAAGGACTAGAACCTATCTTGAACCTTCAACACTATCTGCCATCTACCTCTTATGCCCTCATGCTGCGGCTTACATCACACCCTGCTCACCGGCTCCGACCCAGAGGATTCCCGACGACGCAGTGGAAGGACTTGCGTCCTGCTCTCAGTTAGTCCTCATTTTTAACCCATACTGTCTCTCACTGTCTGTCTTACTTACACCTGATTTGGCGTCACCCAAGAGCACCAAGGCATGCTGAGCGTCCTCTTCGGCAGCACTCAGAACAACTCACAGCAACAAGGATCATACGCGGTAACTACTCGGGACGCGTAACCCAACCTCCAAAACCCCACGCGCCCTAGAACACACACACACACACACACACACACACACACACACACACACGCGCGCGCGCGCATCGTTTCGCTTCTTCAGCTTTCCATGTAGTATCAATGGGTTCGCCCGCGCCACCGCAGCACGCACCTTGCAGGACCACACAACCACCAACCCAACCATCAACCACCCAAACCGAGCAGGGGGAACGAAAAGGGCCCTGCCCACTGTCGACGGTTGGGCGTTATGGTTTGTCGTTAATAATAGCTCTACATTCAGAGCAAGGACCGCGCATGCTTAGATGACAAATGAAACACGACATGAAATGGAAAAGAAAAATGTCAAAATTATCTTGGGAGCTTAGGGAAATGTATAATCGACACAACAAAGGCGGGAATTTTCTTCATCCATCTTTTCCTTTTCTCCTTCTTAAATCGCCTCCCGCGGCTACTCCCCCAACCCTTCTCTGTACCTCCCCCTCATCAGCCATCGCCTCCACTGCAACATCACCTTCTGCGCCTCCCTGCATCTGCCCCGCCTCCCCGCCGCCCTGTCACCACACCCCTACGACCGTCGCACTTTCCATTTGGATCCAACCCCAACTTCAGTTCCAGATCCAGATCCCGTTTCCCGGGCGCACCCTCTCCCCCCTCGCCGTTCCCACCTACTTTTTTATATTCTCCCCTCCACGCGACAATTCTCTCTCCTCTTTCCCTCCCTCCCATAGTTGACCCTAAGCCCTCTTCACGGCCTTGCTCCTGTTCCTGCTCCTGCTCTTGCCCCTGGCCTCGCTCGCTTGCTGTGTTGCCCGGGCCAGCTTCGGCTCCTCCTGCTCGAACTCCAATTCTTCCCCCACATCAGCTTCCTCCTCCTCCTCCTCCTCCTCGTCGTCGACACGTGGTATCTCTCCGTCTGCCTCTGCCTCTGCCGCTGCTGCTGCTGCTGCTGTTGCGTCAGTCCGCCGGGTCGACCGCGCCTTCTTCCCGCTCCGCACCCTGACCCCGGGGCCCCGAGCTGCCCCCACGGGTTTGCGCTTCTGTTTCTGCGCTTGCTTCTGCTTCAGCCTCTCCGCTAACGGATCCTCGACCAGTAACTCGACCACCTCTTCATCCTCCAGCGCAACGTGCTCCACCGCCCTGTTCTCCCCGGCTAAGAGCTTCTCCAGCGCCGCGTCCTAATTAGGACGCACATAGAGGATATAGCCAAATTAGGCAATAAGGCGGCATTACGGGACGCGAGAAAGGGGCAAAAGCTTCATGTGCATGGTGTAGGGGTAGGGGTAGGTGCGAGTGAACAGCACTCAAAGGCATGCCGCAGTGTGACACAAGCCCTAGTTGCGAAATTACCCTCTCGACCTTCCAGTTAATTCGCATCTATTTTTAGCTCTATTTTTATCTCGAGTGCGGCGTACGGATCGGCGTATGGATCGGCATACGGATCGGCGTACGGATGGGCGTACGGATGTGGAAGAAGCTGTTGAGTGACAGGGTGTATATGTCCTCGGGCCTGTGTGTGCATGTGTAAATGTATAATCATAAAAAATGCGTCTGGAAAGACAGGAAGTGCGTGTGCCCAGGTTACTTGTGTCGGGGATTGCGGAATGGGGGTATTTTACCAAAAAAACCCAAAGCCAAAAACCCAAAGCCAAGAATTACTACAGACCTCATATACCCCTCACCCGTGCGGACGCCATGCGGGCTTCCAGCCACCGGGTCCCCGGCTGGATGTCGTACAGATCCCTTCCGCCGCCGCCGGCGGCAGTGGCGGTGGAAGTTGCAGCTGCACCGGATGCGATGGCATCCCCCGTTGGGGGCGCTGTCGACGCTGTGGGCACCGCCACTGCCGCCGCTGCGGCGGAGGCGGCGCCCGGAGAACTCAGCGGTCCTGTTGTTGCCAGCCGAGCAGCTTTGTTGGGCCGCGGCTGCGTCGCAGCTGTAGGCGTTGCTGCCGCCGCCGCCGCCGCCGCCACAGAGGGCGATGGCGGTGCAGCGGTGGCGGCAGCGTCAAGCACCGCCGTCAACCGCTCCAGCAGCGTCGGCTTATTGCCACTGGCGGATAGACCCAACAGTCGCAGGCGGCTCCTCAGTTGTACGACAGTCAGCCGTTGGAGGTCCTCAAGGGGCGACGTCATCATTGTCGTCCCAAGAGAGTCTGCGGCGGCTGTAGCAGCGACGGCACATAGTCATGGGGGCGGCGGCGGGGGCGGCGGCAGTAGCGTAAGCAGCGGTGCGGGAACTATGGCTTTGGTTGATGGAATGGCAAAACACACGCCGGCGGCGGAGAGAAGAGGGGAAAGGAGGAAGACGAACCACGGAGGAGTGAAGCTGATGCCAGGGCAAGAGTGTACCAGAGGGGGGAGGGAGGGAGGGCGGGCGCGCGGGCGGGAGGGGGGGATGTATGGCCCTATAGCATACACTCGACCGGTCACCAATCGGTCACCAATCGGGTGATGCATCTGTAGGGGTACGGTGGAGTTACCTACGGCCTGTACCGTACAGAAGGGTCACCCTACCCCTACAGCTCGTCATGCTCGTCATGCTCGGGGTGAAATGACGAGCATCTCTAAACTCAGCGTTCATACGCGACTCAGTTCAGAAGTAGCCTTAATAATGAGCTACATAACATTTAAAAGATTTTGTGGTAGCCAATTGCTAGATATGAAAAATACGCTAGAGAGCCTAGTTCACCATGTTTGCGCGGAAATTCGCGTCACCCCGGAAAAAGCAACTGGAAGGCGGATTTTAGGATCATGCTTGCTGCGGAATGTAGAAGCAAGGCTGAGAGAGGGTGTGGGCCTCATTCGCCGCCGGCACAACGTCACAGTTGAAATGAAGTCATCACGTTCGCGCCGCGCCTTCGCCACTTCCATTCCACGGCTCATTAACCATTTAAAAACACGTATGCCACGACGCGTCGTGTTGTGTATTTCACCCCGGGGGAAGTCGACGTGGACAACAGGAATTCCGGTCTCACACAGCGAGGTCGTACATTAAAAAAAGGTCGTACATTAAGAAATATTTCCCAAGGTGCTCGCACACACCCATGCATTGCCTCAACCTTGCAAGCAAGGTATAAAATAGATATGGCGTACACCGTACGGAAAGCTGTACAACATACGGAATGTCGTACCTGTCGCCATGGCCTCGGAAAGGACTCGTTCTGCCCGGTCCAATGTCACGTCGCTGTCGTGGTCTCCGCTATCCCCCCCGACGTCGACACCGCCTTTGGCTGCTGCTGCAGTTCCAGCCTTGGTTGCTGCTACTGACTGTTGCTGTTGTTGCTGTTGTTGCCATCTCAAGGCCGCTTCCATCCTCTCCACCAACTGCGCCTTATTGCCTCTGATATCCAAATTGAGCGCGATCAGTCGAGTCTTAAGCTGCTTGACGGTCAGCTGCACAACAGCGGCACAACAGCCCGACTCAGTGGGCGGAAGGGTAGCGCGATACAAGTGTGTATGTATGTGTTTATGTATGCATGTATGTGTATAGAGCATAATTGAAGGGAAAAATGTTAAAAACCGTGACCGAGAGAACCGGGAAAGTAGGTTAGCAAAAACAGCTGGGTGTCGTACAATCGGGAGTCAGTTGGATATCAGTTCTCGTACCAGGTCGGCAACTATAAGTTTCCAACCAGTTAGTTAATGCAACCAAACCTAACAACTTTTTGATGACGCAGCAACGGCACTGCTCCTTCATCGTGTACTTCGGCCTCACCACCCACCTTAGCAGGCACCACCACCACACCCTCCCCTTCATCCGCGGCCTCTCCCTCGTTGCCCTCGTCATCCTCATCTGGGGCGCAGTGGCTGCGGAAGAGCCGAGCAGGCTGCGCGGCGGCCATAGCCGCCAGTCGCGATGAGGAGAGCAGCGGGCGGACATCCCCTCCGGCTCCGTCGCCACCACCGTCACCGCCACCGCCACCACCGCCTGCAGCTGTATGACGACCCATCAGCTGCTTCTTCTTCTGCTGTTCTTGTGGCTGCTGCTGCTTCTTCTTGAGTGGTTGGCAGTTTTCGCAGCAGTACACTGTACGGCCCGCCATCTGCCATGTTCGTACTGGCCCCTTACAGCGACCGCACACTTGCTGATTGTAGATGTACCTAAGCACGAGGTGTAAGGTGTGAGGGGTGTGAGGGGTGTGAGGGGTGCGGTACTAATCATGGCTTACGCAAAGGTCATCTGGGTCTACATGCCGGTCAGCCGTCGTGTCCTAAATAAGATCCTTGTGGCACAGCGGCTATATTTCCCATGTGACATGCCAAATATTGACTGATTATTACACCCCGTTTCCTAAACAGGCCCTACCGGCGTGTCCATGGCCTCCCCAGCACCTTAGCCTCCCAGCCGTCCACCGTCAGGATGGAGCCCGACACGAAACCCCGTTGCAACAACGACACCGTGTGATACCTGTGGGAGGAAGCGGCGGGACTTCTAGAAGGCGGGTGAGCGGGAACGTGGGAGGGGAAGGCGGGGGGGAGGGGGACATGTGCCCCACAGGATGGGGTTCGGGGGTTGGGGGATAGGGCGATGAGGGCGTGTTTGTGTGTTTTTATTGGTACAGAGTCACACGTGGGACCGCCCGTCACCTTCATCTTTTATTATATTTACCAGATTCGATCAAACTGATCGCTGGTCAGGTCGCAGGCGGGCAGCTCGGGATGTACCCCCGCCTTGAAGAGGATCTCGGCCCTGTAGATGTTGCCCACGCCGGCCACCATAGACTGATCCATCAACACCAGACCGATGGGTTTGCGGCTGCGGGCAACCTTGGCACGGAGCAGCTGGTGCATGGATCGGGGGGGGGGAAGGCGAACCACGAACCCCCGATGGGGGGGAAGGGGGGTTGCGGAGGGAGGGGCGGGGGGGGAGAGGGGTTTTAGGTTAATGTCCCACCTTTTGATGGGTAATGGATAGGTAATGCAGCTCTCGGAGGTGCAAAACACACACGGATATATATATATATATACGGATATATATATATATATACACATGCAGGGTGTGAAGCAAAATGGGTCAAATTGCGAGGTAGGGGGGAGGGGGAGGGGCGACGTTCAGGTGGTTGTGCCTTTGCTGTACGACGGGTCGGTTGGCGGTTGGAATTTGGGTAATGTCATATTCTTGGTCTGGTCTGGGTTGACACTACTGCGATTCGCGGTTTAAGGTCCTGGGTTCGATTCCTAGGGAGACCCCCGAATTAGTCGGGAGCGCGAGATTATGGCTAGCTGCTGAGATGTGGAGTTGAGGTCGCAGTTGATGGACCAGATTTGCACGCTGGATTGGTGGTGATTGCCGAACCCTCCGTCTCTTCGGTTGTTCGGGTGAATGGATGAGGAGGGGTCCTAGACGGCTGGACCCGCCGCCTTGGACTTACAGTTCGTATGGCGAAGTATAGTGTGGTAGTGGTGGACGGTGCTATAAGATGATAAATCGTAGAACTGACAATGTGATAAAGCGGCCCAGAAGCCTCCCACTCTGTAACAACATTATTATTATATATTAATAATATTATATTCTTGGGCGGTGAAGCGGCCGGCCTAGGGTGCAGCGACGAGGCTGAAGGGGTGTTCAAGGGGCAACCAATCCGGTATGCTGTACCTAGTGCTATTACGGTAGTCGTTGTGGTAGTTATGGTAGTTGTTGTGGTGGCAGTTGTAATGGTAGTTATGGTGGTAGAAGCTCTGCTGGCAATCATGTCCTTCAGCCTGCAGCTTCCCACAAACGTTGAAGCGCTCGTCCGTACACATACATACACATACACGCACACCGCCGTACCAACCTCCTTGTCCGCATCCTCCCGCAGCGGGTCAGGTCCAAGCTGCGCCGCCTTGCGGGTGTAGAGCTCTAGTGACCCGTGGGTCACTGTCATGGCGCTTAGGTGAGCCACCAAACCCATCTCCTGATGTGTGTGCAGGTACGTGGGGGAAAGTGGGGGGAAAGTAGGGGGAAGGCCGGCCGGGGGGGGGGGGGGGAAGACGAATCACGAACGAGTGAAGCTGCTGCCAGGGCAAGAGTATACCAGAAGTAGAACGGACCAAAAGGCGTTCTTGAAGGCGGCGGGGGGGGGGGCCGGAAATAGTGAGGGGAGGCAGCTGGATGGGGGGGGGCGGGAAATGGTGAGGGGAGGCAGCTGGATGCATCTGATGGGGAGCCAGGATATGTGAAGCAGAGCCTCCGGATAGGCAGCTGTGATGTTGGCGATGGTCGTATGTTCTGCAGACGTGATCTTGTTCGCTTGTGGGTGAGCAATGCAGCAGTTTACACAGAGGGGGCTTCAAGCCAGAGACCCTAAACCCCTGAAACCTTAAAACCCAGCACACATTACCCGGTTAATGAGCTCCAATCGTGTGGTTTCGGAGGGAGGGGGTCCGGGAAGGCTCATCGTACGGAAGGCACCACTCATGCCGAAGTGAATATGCATAACCACCACTCCACCATCGCCATCATCCGTACGACAACCCCCGTCATCAACTTCATCATCACTACCATCATCATCATCAGCAGTAGCGGTGGCTACAGCGGTGGTTACAGCGGTGGCTGTAGTGATGGGTTCGATGGGGCCGGTTTTCGGGTTTTCCATTAACGGCGTTTCGCTGTTCGGTTGTAGCGCCTCCAGCAGGGGGATTGCGGTTGATACCGTTGGAAGCCGTGGAGAAAGTGGCGACGTTTGTGTAAGTTGTAGTAGTTGTGATGACAGTTGTGCTGGACGCTGTGGGGCCCATGGTAGTGGTTGTGGTGGTTGTGCAGTTGCTGACGTAGGGATGTTTCGGGTCCCGCTGGCGGCGATGAAAGCACTGCTGGTGGGATGGACCGTGAGGGGGACTGGCTGGTGGGAGAAGAAGTAAAAGAGATTCTTGCCGTGTACTTCAATGCGTTGCAAGGGTTTGGCGTTTATGGCGACAGCACCTGGGTGGATGTGGTGTCATAGCATTTGGCGGTAAAGAGAAGGCGGTAAAAAGGAGGGGGTGAAAAGAAGGCGGTAAAAAGAAGGGGGTAAAAAGGAGGCAGTGAAAAGAAGGCGGTAAAAAGAAGGGGGTAAAAAGGAGGGGGTGAAAAGGAGGCGGTAAAAAGACCTTAAGTCCTCTGCTGGTACCACAATGGTGTTGCGATGGGGGGAGCCAGCACACAGGAAAAGATAGATAAATAAAAAAACCTTTCGTTGAGACATTTCTCCGGTTTGCGTTACCAAAACCAAATACAAACGAGAATGAAACCACATCCCAGGAAGCGTCCGTAAGTCATTATGACGTAATGTGTACGACACCATCGCGTCTGAAAGTCCGAAGCGAGATATGTGAGTTGACTCGATTTGCATTGAATCGGTTCGAGCGCAATGAGATTTGGTACGGTTTTTTCCGTTGGGGTTTCGGAGCATCTTCGACTGTCGGCCTTACCATCCCTGAAGCGACCGTTAGGGGACCTAGCGATGAATGCTCGTCCCAAAAGAAGCCGCCGGTGGGCGGCCGCCACCCGATGGCACTGGTGCCTGAGTTTATGTGTGTGGGTGTATGCGTACATGTGTAAATGGGATGGTGGGGCGGGCGAAATATTGAGGAAAACGGGATTGGGGGGACGTACATACATACATACATTCAGGTCTCCTTCTCCCCCTTAGTATGGGTGGAGGATGTGGTAGGGTTATGGGAGGCTGCGATTGGGTTTTGTGAGTGAGTGAGGGCAAGGAAGGGGTTCCTCGGTGCGATAGGATAGGGAGGAACCCCGGGTTCCTCCTGAGGGGCCCTCGGCGTCATGGCGCCGCAGCGCGTCGCAGGAAAGCGAAGCAGTCGATGCAATGTTTGGAACGCTGTGTAAGAAAAAATACAGGTAAAGGCGGCATGTTATGTTCCGGCAGCAAATTCTGAATGTGTGAATGTGTGGCTTGTGCGGAATGGGCACCGGGATGGGTACGAGCTATCCAAACAGACGTCGCTTCGCAGTATTGCAAAACGCAGCCTCACCCCTCTACCATAGCGCTGTTGACGTTCGATCCTGTTTGATGAGCAGCGCGGTGAAATGCATGCGCGGAATGGCGCAAATGCCGGAACACTGATAAGCGCGGATGAGTAAAACCTAACTATCTACCGAGGCCAGTGTCAAATTTTAATCATTGTCGTGGATCCTAAAACGCAAGAGGCGCGGATGGCGATTATAGCGCAGTTTCAGGCGTCGGCGAACCAGGATTCCGTGTTCAATCAAGTTATCGAGAAGCACGCATCTGGCAAACCCCCGATCATGTTCTGGTATTGTTCTGAGGAACAGCTGGAGAGCTCCATGGGCTGGACGGCGTCCATGGCTCCCATCTCGCCACGCTACAGTCGTACTCCTGTAACTACGGGAGAGGTTCCCGGTCGTTCAAGCGCATACTCACTATCATCGGATTGGAATGTTGATATGTAGCTTTATTGAAAATGTTGAGTGCCACCATTCCCCGACAAGGCCCGCAATGCGCATTTCGGCAAGAGCAAAATAGAAGACCGCTCGTCCGCGATTCATCTGTAAGATGTAATAAGAGGCGAATGGCATTGATGCCTGGTGGCGGGAGGCCGTTCCAATTAGCGGAAAGAGCCCCGGTGCATCGTCAGCCGATGGCGACGCACGTCTTTCCGTTTGATCAGGCCTGGGCACCGAGCGTCGACGCAGCGGTGAGGCTGCTTTGGGAATGTGTGTAAGCCAGCAAGCTTGAGCTTTATTCAGTTCTTGGATTGGGCGTATGTCTGCAGTCGCTGGCGCCTCAGCTCTTCGCCATGAGCCTCTTCCCATACCTATGCTTCCTCTTCTTCCTGACAAAGTCGGGCAAGACGCCAAGTTTGACCCTTTTCGGCTTTTACTTCTTGCTGGTTTTCGTAGGAGCCACCATTCCGGCTGGAATTTATGGTGAGAGGGAGTAACACGTCTCCTGAACATACATATTACTGCTGTTTAACTCCCTCCCGTGCAAGCATGTTACATCCGTCTACCACGGCGGTTAAGGCTAGCTAGCTGTCAGGGCATGGAATCCCTTTAGCTTTTGACGGTCAGCCCGCAGCTGCCGCATAGCTCTGCCTGCAAGCTTCGTTGTATAACACGACGGGGACGGGGACGGGGAAAAGTTCGCGAAGAGGAATTACAAGTCCGGGCCCGAACAGCCCAGCCAGCGTTGCACCCGCCTTTGCCGCTTAAGGTTGGCTGTCCAGGTTTGGGTGCAGGAAGGAAGACTGCTGATCCCAGCTAAGACCTGTTCGTGTATAAACCACCGCGCTGCACGCAGCAGCAATGATCCAAGCAGTGGTCGGCAAATCCTGCGGGTACTGCGGGTCCGCAGTACTTCGCAGCACCCGCAGCCGAAATTCGGCTTAAGGCCCCGTAAATAAGGCTGCGGGTCCCTCATAACTAAAATTTGACCAAAAGACGTAGTTTGCAGCCTGTTTTTAGATCGTTTCTAGATTTCAGCGCCACCTCTATACAATTCAGTGACAGTTATCATTGATAAAGTACCACAGTTTTAGCGTCTGTACGGATGACTTGCAGTTTCCGCAGCACTTGGGAGCGTTGACTTGGTCAATTCTGGACTTCGGCTTATCTGCGATTTGTTCCATGTGAGGCTATCCTGTACATCATCTTCAGCATCTTGCTTATTCCTTCATCCCAATCTCTACTGATCGCCTCTCTTCGCTTCTTACCGTATGTCACGCTGCTGGCACCCACCGAAATCGCCGCTGGTGCCATGCATAACTCGTACGGCAACGTACGAATGTACGACAGCCAAGTCCCATTACGGCACCAGCTTGGCTAATGTGGACTGGCTTCACGGGGCGGCTGAAAGTCTGTTGACCATCACCAACCTGTTCATCGGTAAGAGTATCGACTTGAACAAGGAAACATAAATTTACATCAATCGTACATCAATCGTACATGAAGAAAATGGGAAATGTACGAAATGGTTAGCCGAGAGCCGCCGTGCACCACTGTTACACAATCGGTATTGTCCGCATTCCCCCTGGCTGCTTAATGTTGAAATCTACCTCAAATCTCCCCAAATCTTAAGTTCCCCCAAATCTCTTGAAAAGGGTTTGTGCTGCATCACTGGGGCCTGCTGCCGTGTGTGCTCTGTGTCGTACTGCACACCGTACTACTTTACGCTGTGTGCTAAACATGGTGATGCTTTTTCTACTCCATGTGCTGTGTGTGCCATTCGGTGGTGGTTTTGTGGGTTGCTCTGCGGTGTAACAGTGTTGGGTCTCCGTCAAGGTATCCGGGAGGCGGAGGCAAACAACGCTAAGGCGAAGGAGGAGCAGGCGGCGGCAGCAGCTGCAGTAGCAGCGAGTGAGGAGGGCGCTGCCGCCGCGACCGGGGGTCGCCGGCAGTAGCAGCCACAGCGGCCCGGCTGTTGCAACGCTGCTGCTAGTGCGGCAGAGGCGACAGTGGAGAATGTGGCAACCCGGAGTGATGATGCGCGCCCCTGGTGGGGGTGGAGGATGTTAACGTGTATGTATGTATATATGTATGTATGTGTATCATGTATGGATGTGTAGGGGATGAGGTTTTCCTGATCCTGGTCATCTTGTTGTGGGCAAGGCAACGGTGCACATGCTATTGGCAGGAACATGCAAACCTTCGGTGTGGGACCCATCTTGTGGTCTCTGCATGTGTTGTCGGACTCGTGTGCTTGTGTTTGTGGTGAACGAATGTCGCAATATCGAGGCGGGGACGGCGGGGACATTAATGCGCTTTCGAATTCGACGCATCTGTGACCCATGGGTCGGTGCCTGGCGGAGGGAAGCAGCACCCGCCTGGCGGCACAAGCGCGTGCTGGCCGTACATCCATTCTGCATGCGGGTGGACGTACGGCCACTATACATAGCGGCGCTCTTTGCTGGGCTGACTGGCTGTACTGCTACTGTGGGGGACTATGAGGATAAGGGGACGAAGAGAGTGATGGAGCTGCTGCACTGGCTAGGTTAGGACGGGAGTGCGCCTCGGTCTGCCGCCGATTTTGGTCACCGTCTCAGGGGCAGTCGATGGTTCCTTTCGCACGCGTGTGCGAATGTATGATTGTGCGTGTGTGTTGTAGAGTTCAGACGACACAACCACATAATGGGGGCATCGAAAGATACCGATTGAGACAAGTGTCTTGAATAAATAGTCATCAGTGACTCCACTTGGGCCTCGCGCCGATAAGAATCCCCAGTACGATTGGGCGGCGCCGTATCCAGAAGCCATAGTTCGCAGGAACTACTCTCGCTCGGTCAGACGAAACTGGGACGCAGGTCCCAGCTTTACGCAGGTAAAACCCCCACCCATACGCAGGTATGGACTTCCGCAGCAGTGCGGCATTAAGGTGGCGGACGACTAACAGTAGTCGCTTTAGCCGCCGCAGCTAACAGTAGCCGCAATTAAACTAATAGCAGTATTAGTTTTAACCTGTAATCACCGA